AACATATAGGGTATATATTAATATATATTAATATATATTAATATGTAGGGTATATTAACTAATAATATTAACTTAAATTAATAATATTAATTTAATATATAGGATATGGTATATATTAATATATATTAATATATATTAATATGCAGGGTATTAACTAATAATATTAACTTAAATTAATAATATTAATTTAATATATAGGATATGGTATATATTAATATATATTAATATATATTAATATGCAGGGTATTAACTAATAATATTAACTTAAATTAATAATATTAATTTAATATATAGGATAGGGTATATATTAATATATATATTAATATGTAGGGTATATATATTAATATATATTAATATGCAGGGTATTAATTAATAATATTAACTTAAATTAATAATATTAATTTAATATATAGGGTAGGACCCAAATAGTCCCACCGTGCCACATGGGTTCATGAATGGCGCATGCAGCTATTGCAATATTTCGAGGTGGGTCTAAAAATGTCCCACCATGCATTACCGTGCATCAAAAACTTGGGACATTTTTAATCCCACCGTGCCTCAAAGGATTAATGTATCGAAAATACGTGATCGTTCGCCCGGGACGCGTTCAAGTTTCAACCCCTTGAGTGCATTAAATTTCATATCCCTTTAAGAAAGAGAACGACATCCTTTAAATCTGTCGTTCTATATATTCGAGTTTTCTCTGACTGCATTTAAAATTACGACAAAATTATCTACAATATTACGAATTACGAATACGTTTCACCGAAATTTCACCGCGATCTTTCACCGACAAACTCGCCTAACAGGATTACCAGGAACGATTATATCCACGAAATAAATAGCCCCGGATCGATAGTTTCCTGCGATTTTCGTATTTTCGCAAATTCGCCGTTCGGGGCGGAGAGAAGCGTTCGTCCGACGGGTTGGTTGCCCGCCGGACCAAAAGTTGGAAATCGTTGTCGTGGCTCGCGGAAGACGAAGGAAATGCGCAAGCCCGTATTTTACGATCGTCCGGCGTGGCTTCTTTGATAACACAGGCGTTACGAAAGCTTTCGCCCCCGTCCATCCCCCCCCCCCTCCATCCCGCCATCGCGCCAGCTTTTTCATTCCTCCGCACACCGCACACAGGCTAATCTCCGGAGGGGGACAAGTTGGCCGGGGTGAACCCCCGGCACTCTGAATTTCGAGTATCGTTTAATAAAACCTTGTTGACCCAACGACTTAGGGGTCCCGAAGGATCCGTAAAATAGAGACTGCCCGAGAACATGTGACGCGCGAGCGTCGCTCCGGCGAGGAGACATTGTTACGTTCGCGTGTCCGTTTCTGACGGATCAGCCGTGCCGGACAGATGTTTAGCCTTCAACGAGTTCACTTTACAAAGCTCCGAGACGAATGGCTTGTTATTACCTTAACTGCACGGAGGATAATTAATTCAACCTCCGCGTTCGCTCGTTTCGCGCATGCACGGTAAATTCTCCCTGATCGACGCTCAGCTTCGAAACAAAAGTGGACAATTTCGGGAGTGGAGATACCGAAATCAATTATCAGCCGCGAATCTATTGACGAAAGCGTTGCAAAGACTGCGATCGGTCTATCAAGAACCGTTTCAGTTTTTAAATTGATTGACCTAAGTAATTTTTTAATTCACGATTATTCATATCGTAAAGATACATTTATGAGTTATTTATTCAATTTATACGTTACTTACGGCAAATATTACAATAATCACTTGTTAACAATCGAAATGAATGTCTTATTGTTACTTTTATAAACTAATATAAAACAGTTGTCTTTTGTGCTCTGTAAATCTAGTGTTAATCATGTGCTATGGCAGTGCAATATACAGGTTGTCCCAAAATTATGGTATTTCCGGGAAATAAGGAATTCCTGAGGTGATTCGAAGTAACTTTTTCCTTAGCAAAAGTGCAATCCGCGGCTTCGTTTACGAGTTATTAACGAAAAACATTGACCAATAGGGGACGAGCTCGCTAGGCGGCCGAGCCAATGAGCGGAACTGGGCTTCGCGCGCTCGTTGGCTGGGCCGGCACGCGTCAGCCGAGCTCGCCTCTCATTGGTCAGTGTTTTTCGTTAATAATTCGTTAACGATGCCCGGGAGGAAATTTTTGTAAAGGAAAAAGTTGCTTCGAATGATCTCACACACACAGAGTAATCTCTAATCTCCCGGAAGCACCATAATTGGGCCACCTTGTATGTATCGAACAGAGGAAAGAGTTTATCCAAAACCTATCCAAAGCTAGATTTCAATTGCTATTGGATATAGATTGCTTAATAATTGAACGTAATATTATGACGCGCCTTTCTTCGTACAATAAATTCTCTTTAATTCGCGCTCGGATTGTGCATAAAAATGGACAATTTTTGAAGAGCAAATTCGATTATTCCAGCCTTGTTTTTTATAGTTGTTGACCAAATCTTTTCGCTCGGTTTCCTCAGCTTCAAAAACTTCATAAAATCGAAATCTCGCGTCGGTTCTGAATAAAAATCAATTTCTAGGTTCGGGAGTTAAGGAAACCGAACGAAAAGGTTTGGTCGACAACTAGATTGCCAGTCGAAGTACAGTAAATTCTATGGTCAATTGTCAATTGTCCAAATGGATTATTCAGGGAGGGGAGATACGATTATTCAAGACTCGCGGCTCATTTTTATAGTTGCCGATTGTCAACAACTGTAAGAACGAGCAACAAGGCTCTATAAGAAGTATAGACCGATTATTCGAGGAGCCTTGCGTCTCGTTTTTATAATTGTTAACAGTCGGTGACTATGGAAAAACGACATATCGAAGTTTACGAATAATCGTATCTCCTCTTCCCGAATTGTCCCGAATTGTCAATTACGGAGAATTGACTGCAGTCGCGATAATTGCGCCTATCTAGATTTCGCGGCATCTCGTGCGGCAATATTGGAACTATCTCCGCGAGGCTGCATGTAATAATCCTCTTTAATGGCCTAACTATGTATATTTCGGAAATAAGCTGCCGCGGCGGGGATCAGTGAATCGGTTATCGGATATAAAAACCAGCAATTTAGCGATAGGTGTGAAACGAATAGAGTTCTGGATCTGACAGACTATCTTAAATATTCGAACATTTGGCAGCATAATTTATTTATTTTATTCTATACAATAAGAAGTCTTTCGGTTTGACGAAGACAATTTTTCACCGATCTTAAAATTTACGTAAATGTCCGTTAAATTAAAAGGTAATGCTAAAAATCTATCGAGCACCAAAGGTGACTGACACGTGTTTTTTCATAAGGGTGACAATATTAAAGGTATTCAGACTCTCTCTCTTGGCAATATTATTATTATTATTATTATTATTATTATTATTATTGTTATTATTATTATTATTATTGTTATTATTATTGTTATTATTATTATAATACTATATATTACATGCCAGCTTTCATATTAATATTTCAGGCTTTATAATATTCTTATAATATATATTATTTTACATATTTATATTATTTATATATTCTTATAATAGTCTCTTCTATATTTTCCATATAGAAGAATCTGAAAAATTTTGCCAATCTCGTAATCAGGAATAAGAAGCCGATAGCGTTAATTAATCAATCACGATCCATCGAATTGTCCACGAAAATCGGTGTTCCCGAAATCGTGCACGAAGAAAGACGCCGATCGATGAATCCGCAAGCGCGCGCGCAAAAAAAAAAAAAGAAAGACAAGTTCGCTAATCGACGCGGCGAACGAATTAAAGCGGCTCGACGGCGGCAGAGATTTCTGGGAAATCGCAGAGGCGTGAGCGGCTCCGATTCGTTCGGGATCGTGACTGTAATGGTTTCCGCGGAAGTGGGCGCAATCTGGGCGCGAATGATGCACGCCACAGGCAATAGGAAATTTTGCATTGAATGCAAATGCTTCTATGCACGTTGCAGTGACACGGCCGACAATAGATGTTGCGACGCGCGGCGATTTATTGTGCGGGAGACAATCGCGCGTGAGCGTACACCCTTAACGGGCCCCGCGCGTTTATTATTTATACGAGCGAGCCGCCGCAGCCTGGACAAGCTAATCGTCCGGCGATTTTTTATTACGATCACGCCGCGCGCCGGGAGCAGAAGATATTCCGCTTGACGCGGACGGTAATCGTAACGATCCATCGGCGTCCGCATCCGATAATGCGAGCGATCGTCGACCTTTGCACTCGACTGCTGCTCCCGGCGCAGCCTCGATATTGCCGGCGATATCGCGAGCGGATCGCACGCTTCTAAACCGAGAGAGAATCGTTTTCTCCAATTAATTCCGACGCGATGCGTGGCGACGCGGCGCGTCTCGCGACCAAGAACGGGCCCGGCAGAGTCCGGCCCCCTGACACGCCCCCAAATATTCGCACGCTTTCGGATTTTCCTCGTTCAAGAGAAGCAACCGGCGCGTCTCGCGGCCGGGAACGGGCCCGGCAGGGTCCGGCCCCTTGACACGCCCCCAAATATTCGCACGCTTTCGGATTTTCCTCGTTCAAGAGAAGCAACCGGCGCGTCTCGCGGCCGGGAACGGGCCCGGCAGGGTCCGGCCCCTTGACACGCCCCCAAATATTCGCACGCTTTCGGATTTTCCTCGTTCAAGAGAAGCAACCGGCGCATCTCGTGACCAAGAACGGGCCCGGCAGAGTCCGGCCCCTTGACACGCCCCCAAATATTCGCAAGCTTCTGGATTTTCCTCATTCAAGAGAAGCAACCGGCGCGTCTCGCGGCCGGGAACGGGCCCGGCAGGGTCCGGCCCCTTGACACGCCCCCAAATATTCGCACGCTTTCGGATTTTCCTCGTTCAAGAGAAGCAACCAGCGCGTCTCGCGGCCGGGAACGGGTTCGGTAAAGTCCGGCCCCTGACACGCCGCCAAATATTCGCACGCTTTCGGATTTTCCTCATTCAAGAAAAGCAACCGGCGCGCCGGCCACTCGATACGACGCTTCTTGTCCCTCTGCCAATCTGCAAATAGCCGAACCCAGACGAGAAACTGCCGGGTTTGTCGACTGCACACATAACAATCGCCACGGTGCCACGGAAGAAGGGCGTGCACGCCGAAATGTCATTTCCAGAAAATCGATTTCAGAGTTTCCAAACTGTGCCACGAAATTAAAGCAACAACATATTGCACCAACGATTGTCGTCGACATTCAAGCTTCCGTAAGTTCGCGGCGAAAAATCTATTTTGGTTTGAGGAATACGTTCGTAGCGTTTTTGTCAAGCAATTTGAAGGCGAATTTCTTTGTTGTTTTCGTTAAGCTCGCGAGGCACCCAGGCTCCCGATTTTTCGGCAAATCCCATTGAACGAAGATGATTGAGAATCGTTTTATGATCGCAGTTCATTTTTGTCGGCCAATCCACGACTTGTTCGGTGACCGTCCTCCTTCAAAAGTGCTTCGAGACGCTCTTCGTCGGATTGCGAAGGTCTTCCGCTGCGGGGCGTGTCGTCGACGTCAAAATCGCCATTCTTGAACTTCGCAAACCATTTCCGTGCTGCAGACTCGCCTATGACACCTTCTCCGTATACGTTGCAAATGTCCCGGGCTGCTTCAGCAGCTTTCTGGCCTCGATGAAAAGCGAAGAAGAGAAGGTGTCGAAAATGTTGCTTTTTACCTCCTGGATGTTCCATTTCTAAGCCTCGGAAGTAATAAAAAATTAAATTACTCAAAAAGACGATTAGCACAGTTTTGTAGAGCAGAAAGAGCTCTATCGAATGAATATTATACACTTTGTCAAACAGCAAAAAATCGTTGTAAAGTAAAAGAAAATATTAAAACGCTACGAACTTATTCCCCAGCGCTTATTAATTAATATTAACACGTTCCGTGCCGAGCTTTTTTTACTCGAATCTTCACACTTTGATATTTTACTAAAACTTGATGTATTACGTGCAATTATTAATTCTCGTACACATAACAACGTAACAAAAACTTATCAACGCCCATTCTTGCGGTGGAAATTGATTCTTCGGTTCTAAATTTCTTGTAAACAATTTGTTCAGTTCACTAAGTAAACATGCAAGCGTGTACCATCGATGGTACACGTGGCACGGAACGTGTTAACTCCTCGCGCTGTAACAACGTGTCCCGATAGAGAAACCGTCAATAGAAAGGATATTATTCGAGCGTCGTGAGGCGTTCGCCCGAAAATATTCGTCCGAAGCGGCCGGATTTGTGCAAAGACAATTCTTCGACTTTGTGACCAAAAACTTTGGTCGAACACTTTGTGAACCGAGCACCGTATTCACCGGACGTATATCGCCCTGTGTGACTTTTCCTGTTCCGTAAACTCAAGTTGCCGCTTCGAGAAGGCGAAAATTCCCAGAAGGAGTCGAAGGTTATACCTTCTTCAACGTTTGGAAAATCTTACGAAGACTGGGAGAAGAAGCGTTCGCGTATGCGCGTTGCCTCGGACGCGACCTACTTTAGAGGCGACAAAATTAATTTCGATGAATAAAAACGTAGCGTTTTCGTAATTTATTCAGAAATTTCGGGACTTTCTTTTGCATAATGTAAGCACCGAAAGTAGCAGTTATCGATTCCACGATAAAATCAACCGCGTTCAGATAATTAAGAACACTTAACGCAGATAATCGGTTGATCTAATCGTGGTTATGATCTAACCGATATGAAATTCTTCTACGTAGCATAAACGACGTACCGATATGGATTATGAGATCCAGTTGCAAGGGTACGGTAGATATGAGGACATCCTTGCAGATCTGGAAATGATTGTCATTCCGAGTCGCCATATTAAAAAGCATGTTGAAGGACAAATATCGCACGGACCTCGACAAATGGACAGCTATGCGTTATACAGAGAAGATAGGGTAAGTGTAGGTATATTACTGCGGTTTCTCAACGAAGGCGAACTTTGACGGAGAAAGTAAGACTTTTTACGCCAATGAATCGACAACTTGATCTATATCTATTATTCTTTAACTCGAATATTTACTTTTCTCAAAATATTGGATCTCTGAAAGCACGAATTTCATTGAAAAGCGTAATGTAAAGAAACCATACGTGTGCATATACAGAGTGTCCCAAAAATGTCTCGCAATCCGAAAGTAGGGGATTCCTGACGTCATTTGAAGCAACTTTTTCCTTCGCGAAAATGCAATCCGCGGCTTCGTTTACGAGTTATTAACGAAAAACAGTGACCAATCAGAGGCGAGATCATTTGGCGCGAGACGGCCGAGCCAGTGAGCGGAACCGGGCTTCGTGCACTCGTTGACTGGGCCGCCGCGCGCCAGTCGACCTCGCCTCTTATTGGTCAGTGTTTTTCCGTTAATAACTCGTGAACGAAGCCTCGGAGAAAATTTTCGCAAAGGAAAAAGTTGCTTCAAATGACCTCGGGAACCTCCCATTTCCGGATTGCGAGACATTTACGGGACACCATGTATTACCGCGGTTATGTATCTAATACTGCGAACGTTCCGATTTTTGATCGCTGCACAAAGCAGCCAGTTCTTAGCCCGAATGTATGTATTCTGAAGTATTTTTTCTCCCGCAGATTGTGGACCGCGTAGCATTAGGCGGAGATCTGAATTTTGAATGGGACCTTGGACACGGGATAGGTAGTTTTCGGATTCACTGCTCAGAAAACCGTTTTCCGTCGTGCTCACTGGGCTAATGTGCCACCGCGATTCTGCGGGGTTGGGTATTTTTGGAAGAGGATGTTATAGATCTAAGAGAGCGACGGGTATTTATGGGATCGTGTTGGTGCTAGGTGTAACATAGCAAAGTGCTAGGAAGCCGGGACAGAAGTTCCAGAAGTAATGATACAAATATAGTGCGAGAGAGAGTAAATCATTCTTCGTTTCAACAATTCATTTTTGTGCTGTTACATGTGTATCGAATATGTTATATTAACCGGGGAAAATGTGAAAAAATGAAATGGTAAGATAGATCTTGATCTTCTTCTCTCTACGATAGATCTTGATTCTTCGCTGTTTGTTTCAGTAAAGCAATTTTCTTTCGATTTCCATTTCTGTGATCACATTGATTCCCAGTTCACCAAATTTTTGAATTCGGACATATTTTTTTGTGAACATATTAAAAAAGAATACACCGTTTCCTTATCTAAACAAATTTCGCGTTAGCTTTGTTCGTAGAGGTGCCAGTCTTGTCATATTCCACTTGAAAATTTTCCAAAATCAGTAGAATTCGACAATTTCATATTACCCTGCACAACTCGGCCACTTCAAATATCGTTATCTTATTTGGTCATCGTATTATCGTTATCGTAACGCATCGCGTTAAGAAATAATCGCGCAAAGATTTCGTCGAGCTTACCCGCCGTCCAAAAGTGTATTTGGTACAGTACATTTTTCATTTCGTGTAAAACAGATTTATTAGTCTTTCCACATTGTTTTATAACATCGTAACAATCCTGTGATGCGGTTAACCCAGCGTCGAGTTACAGGCGTTAAAAGGATTTTTAAAAAATTGCAGATTTCTTCCAGTTTTTGGTCAAAATCGTGATGATACTTAATTTGTTATATTTCGTAACAACGTCAACTTATCTCGATCAAATTTTCAGCATACATACAAGTTACCGAGATCTACGAGAAGCACTTTCTAAATTTCCATTATAGGCTCAGATGAAAAAGTTAAAAAACAAGAGATCTTTCATTCTCTTTTTCGTCATTCCAAGTAATAGCAAAATTAAAAATAGGCATTTTAATCATCGTAAACTATTAGGCTACAGTACTATAGTACTTAGTAGGCTAATTCCTCTATCATCTAAAAAAAATTCAAATCAGTATTATTTATACTATTTATTATTATTTTATTTATTATATTAGTCCAATTTTAAAAAGATTATTGCATTTTGAAAGGTGTACGAACACTTTTGTGGGCCACTGTACGTGCCTAAGAGTCTTCCGTTTCCGCAATGTTGTTAAAGTTCTCACCATTCACTATGCTCTGTAACATTCTGCAATCCGGTATGTTGTAATAACTCTCATGAGAGATTTCCTTACAATATGAAAAAAAGAAAGAAAGAAGAAAAGTTCGAATGAAACTCTGCGCCCGGATGATCTTCGCCCGGCGTACAGTAAAAGAAGGACTTAGTTCGGTAGGCCCCGTGTCCTTCCCCTCCCCGGCCGTCTCTCCGGCACCGCACAGTTATACTTGACCGTGAGCAGTGCGACTCGACCGAACTGATGAAAGTTAAGTGGCGCAGGCTAAGGTCGTTACCACTCTCGTACGCATCGTTCGCCGCGTTCAGTAGACGATGACCACTCGGTGGCGTCGCATCGGTTCTCCGCAAACACCTGAGACGACGCTCGCGAAACCGACATGAGGCCGACGACGTTGGGATCGTTGCTCTTGCTGGCCGGGTTCGCCTGCCTGGCGAACGCCTTGAACCCAGATTCCGGACCATGGGTGCAGGCCACGCAGGGCGAGCCCTGGCCGTTGCCGACTTTCAGGCGCATCGGGAACGCGTACTACCAGCTCAGACCATCCACTTTTCAGTTCAACGTGAGTAACCGAAAACTTATATCCGGAGCGCCTAACGCTTTCAGCACTTTGCCCTCTACCACCTCAAAAATGAGAAATCGAACGGATTCGATCGGGACACGAATTCGATTCGATTTGCAATTTTTATTTCATTCGACGCGTAATTTCGATTTTACGGAGTTTTCGAAGCTATTGGGTTGCCAGTCGAAGTACAGTAAATTCTCTGGACAATTATCAATCGTCCAAATGGACAATTCAGGGAGAGGAGATACGATTATTCGAGCCTCGCGGCTCGTTTTTATAGTTGCCGATTGTCAACAATTATAAAAACCAAGCGCAAGGCTCGAATAATCGTATCTCCTCTCCCCGAATTGTCCGTTTCTGTTTACAAGCTGCAGGAAAATTGGGGAGAATTTTCTGTAATTTTGAATAAAATCTGTGCAACTGGCATTCGAAGTTGCAAGATTGACAGAGCGGTATTTTCAACGCTGGAACTATCAAATCGGTCGAAGTGATTGATTTTATTCATTTATTTCGTTCTTTTTCAATTCGCATCGAAACTTATTTATTCAAGCATATGCTAAAATAGAAATCGTACGAAGTTCAAATAACTTCGATCTTACCATTTTTACGTTTAGAGCTCGGTAATTCAAGCGTTGAACAGTCGGAAGAAAACTAGAGAATTTATGGTTTATGAAATGTAGTTTGGAACAATGCTTGACCGTGGTCTCTTTCATTTCATTCATTTAATCTGTGACTTTCAAAATTGGACGAGACTCTTTCACACGTAAAATAAGTGGATGGTAGATTCTTCTGCATCAATTGCTGCAAACTCGGACCAAACAGCTGTTCATCTCTAACAATTTAAAAAAAAGTTGGTAACAACGTATCGATGTTCCGAAATTCCCTGAATATTCGTAATATTGTCCGTTGACGTTGGTCGTAAATGCATCGATCGATAATTACTACTTTTAAATGTGCTTCTCTGCACAATTAATAACTCTGACTTACACTCTTTTTTACTTGCCCTCCATACTTGATTCTAGTGGATTCCCCCTGATTTTCCTTCAGCTTGTGAAAGAAAATGGACAATTTGGAAAGAGCAGATACGATTATTTGATTCTCGCGGCTCACTTTCATAGTTGCTGACAATAGGTAACTATAAAAACGAGCCGCAAGGCTCGAATAATCGTGCCTCCTCTTCCAAAATCGTCCATTTTTGTTTCGAAGCTGAGCGTCAATTAGGGAGAATTTGCTGTACGTTTAATCGCTGGATAATGTGGAATGAGCAAATTCTGTAACATGCAACGGTTTTGTGAAACGATGTTGTTTAACGTAAGCCATTGTTGCGTAGTATGTACTTTGAAAGGAAGGTTTCCTTTGTGGCGAGCAATTGTAGTATACCTGGAGATTGCATCTGCGAAATTGAAATTCTGAGCAGTTTTGTAATAACCTCGATGCATACAGCAGAACAATGTTGATAATTCGAACACACTTATAAGTGTTAAAAAAGTAGCTGAAACAATTATTATCGTACAGCCAAATAAATTGTAGAAGTTTCTTAACACTAGAACTAAGTCAAACCAGTCAAAATGACCGGTTTCAAATCCTTTCTTTTACAATTCTTGACATTGTGAAAATGTCTCTACTGGAAACTTTTAGATAAACTTTTTTATTCGAGCACATACACATTGCAATAGAAATCGCTCGAAATTTGAATCAATCCAATCTCGTCGTTCTCACAAAATAATATACAGTAGTCGCGTTTAGGGTTCGGCGATTCTAATATTAATTCTATCGACGATCTAAGAACAATAAGATCGTTGTTTCCGACAAAATCTACGCACAGAATTCTCTGCGAATGTTTAAACGCGTCCATTACAGTCGCATATTACGCAACGGAAACAATTACTCCGCACTTCTCAAACGCAAGCTAAATTATCTTAAAAATTAAAAAAGAAAAAAAATCGCATCTCGGTATCTTAAAGAAAAAAAAAATCGCGAAGATCGTCTTATTTCCAGCACGTAAAAAATGGACGCGCGTCGCTTGCTCGTGTATACAACGGCTCATTGATCGAACCCGGGGATGTACACGCGCGAAGAGATAATTCATTGGAGAGTCTGAATCACAGCGATAATTAGATTTTACTTTACGAGTTTGTAGAGGCCGGGAATTACCTACGGTGGAAATTGTTGATAAGGAGGTCGAGCCGCTGAGAGAACAAAAAAAAAACACGAAAATTTGATTAAACTTTCGTTCGGACGTATTATTGGTTCGTTGGATTCCCCGACACACTTATGCAGCGTGGCGATGCACAAATAACCAGATCTCGGTTCTCTCTCGCTCCTACGTTCGCGATACTCGAGCATGAATGAAATATTGAACCGGGCCGTTATTTTTATTTGATTCGAAGCTTTCGTTTCGTACACACCTCGTCTGCGAAGATAAGCGTTATCATATATACGTTTGCCTTTTTTTTTCCCTCCTGGTAGGAAGTTCCTATCGATACCATGTCCAAGGGAAATCTCCTGCGGCATACAGAATTACGTAACACATTCATGCGCGTTGCATACACATGCGGGACTTACCCGCCGCGCGAGCGAGCGAGCACGTGAACTATGTTCTACGGATTCGTAGAATCCGGTTCTCGGCCGTGTGAACCGCGATTATTTTTCAACCATTATTTCCACGATTATTTTTCAACCATTTAACGTACAGGGCGAGTCGGAAATTAGTCCCCACGATTTTTCGTTTAGGGATTTTTCGGTCCTTTCCGATGGTCTGACAAAAAAATGTTTCCTATCGAAGTTAATTAGTATCTAACCGACAAGAAATTGCAATTGTTTATATTTAAAAATAAATTGATTTTCGACGAGAAAACAAGCTCACTGTTATATTTTTAAACGAAATTAGGCATTTTTGACTTTATAGCATTGTAGGCGACGTCGAGACGAATTCAACGACCTGCTACACGATGACCTTCGGATGACATTGAAGGAAAAATTGCCACGAATTGATTTCCATAATATTTGAAATAATTTGGCGATACGTAATACAAGTTCAAAAAATTTGGAATTCATAATTGTTTGAAAAATTGTTTTCGAAAATTGTAGTCAGCCGAATTGACGAGAGAAGAGTTAAATATTTACATTTTTTTTTAACTTTTTTCGTCCGAATCTGGAACGAAAATTTGAACAGCGCTTTTTATGGATTTCTTTTTTGGGTGCCAACAAATTCGTCGAAATTGATCGACGTTGTTACGAGCTGCAAATAATTCAAGATAACGAAAACCACAGTTTTTCACTTCTACTTGTAGCTCGTTCGCGAGTCGACCGATTTCAGTGAAATTGTTAGCGTGCAAATGAGTAATTTAAATCGCATTTAAATCGCATTCGTTCTAGGCTTGGATAAAGAATACAATTTTTCCTGTTTTCTTTTTCTCTCACACCAACTAATTGCGATTATGGCACAAATAGTCGTCGTCTAGTAAACGGTCTCTTCAACATCTCGAAAAATTTAGATCGCTTAGTGCAATTACAAAGTTACTCGGTGTTAGAAGACGTTCGAATATTTTCGTGGCACACTGTATATCGAAGATAATTCGAAGGAACTCGATACACAAGAATTTAACGTCATTTCCACTATCTTTATTCAATAGGCTTCATTGCATTTTCTTTGCGAATCGTTGCACGTGTATTACAACGAAATCGAATATGAAAATCTATTCGTTTGCACTCCGATGTTACCGATACTGCATGTAAAATGCATAAATAAAAGCGCAAAATCTTTTATTTAGTAATTCTTATAATGGTAACATAATACTAATAATATAATAACAATAATATGACAAAAATAATATTATAATAACAATATAATAATAATAATAATATGATAATAATAATATTACAATAACAATATAATAATAATAATAATATGATAATAATAATATTACAATAACAATATAATAATAATAATAATATTATGATAATAATAATAATAATAATAATATTATGATAATAATAATAATATTACAATAATAATATGATAATAATAATATTATAATAACAATATAATAATAATAATAATATTACAATAATAATATAATAATAATAATAATATTACAATAATAATATAATAATAATAATATTATAATAATAATATTCTTTGTATAATGACTTTTATTTGAATACAACTTTTGGTATATTATAATAAAATAAAAATATATATTGTCATATATATATATCGTTAGAAATATATCAGAAAAAGCTTCGGAATCCAAAGGGCTATAGATAAAGGCTGCTGGCTACATTTTCTATTTGAGCGAGCCTCGAGTGTCGGGCAAATACGTTGTTTGCACGATAGCCGGACATGTAAATGCAAACACGACCACATCTGTTACTCATTTAATATCCATACCCGTTATGTAATTCGTCGTACAGGTAATCACCGAGACTTGCGATATAGTGGTCGACGCGATCGAAAGGTACAAAGCGATCATTTTGACGGAGGCACGAATCGCGAAGATCGTCTCGCAAGGACACTCCAGGTCTTCGCGCGACAACAGCACCAGCAGAGGAACGCTTACAGCTTTGGACATCCGTTTGGCTGAACCCTGCGAGAAGGATGGAAACCATTGGCCCCATTTGTACATGAAGGAATCGTGTAAGTTGATTTAACCGCGCGCGATCTTCGATGAATGATTAAAATGTCTCTTGATAATATCTAAAATCGTACAGTAAATTCTCCCTAATTTTCCTTCAGCTTGTAAACAAAAATGGACATTTTGTGGAAAAAGAAAGATACGATTATTCCAGCCTCGCGGCTCATTTTTATAGTTCTTTTTTTACCGATTGTCATCAATTATGAAAACAAGTCGCAAGGCTCGAATAATCCTATCTCCTGTTTTCGAATTCTCCATTTTTACGCACAATCTGAGCGTCGATTAGGGAGAACTTTACTGTATTTCTGAAACTGCAGGCTATAGTTTGCGAAAATGAACGGAATCCGTTCAGTTCGGGAATCGCTCCACGACCTTCAAGTTAGTTAGTTAGTTCGGCGATGCTGTTTTTTTCTCACGAGAATCGCTGTATTTGCTTCGTTGATAGTTCCGGTTCTCTCTCGAAACGCGTGCGTGTAATCAACGAGAAAGAAAATAATTGGCGATGACGCCAGTTTCGTTTCATTGACACCGAACAACATTAACCGCGCAACCGATATCGCGTGTTTACCATAGAAATGCTCCGGCTCCGAGCACTTTTTCCCTCCTCTATCGGCATTCTTTTTACCGTATCAACTGTTCGCTGGATGATCGACATAGCAGGAAATCCACAGACGACGGACGTATTAAATAATTCAATGAACGAAATTATAATAATCCGCGTCGATTTATCTTATTACGATACAGCGAATACTTGACGAATGATTTGTATTACTTTCAAATCCATGGAGAATGATTAGGCGAGATAGTTTGTATCCGAAATTATCACGAAGCATTCGAGACGTTATTGTAAACGTAGACGTTATTATTTAATTCGTGCTCGAATTGCACACAAAAATGGACAATTTGAGAACGTGTAAACGGAAATAGATAATTTCGGAAGAGGTGACACGATTATTCGTGTCTCGCGGCTTATGTTCATAATCGCCGATTGTCAACAGCTATGAAAGCAAATAGCAAATAGCTATAAAGCGCCGCGAGGCTCGAACAATCGTGTCTCGTCTTCCCAAATTGTCCATTTTTGTTTACAAGCTGAAGGAAAATTAGGGAGAACTTACTGTTTCGACCACTCAGCTGTGTTAATCCATTTTTAAGGTCAATTTTGTAAGCGTTTTTTTATCGATAACACCGGGTGCTGTTTCTTTAGGCAAGTTGTCCTAGAATTCAGTAATTTCTCCCTAATTCGCGCTCGAATTGTACACAAATATGGACAATTTGAGAACGTGTGAACAGAAATAGACAATTTTTTTCTCGCGGCTCGTTTTCACAATCGCCGATTGTCAACAGCTATAAAAACGCGCCGCGAGGCCCGAACAATCGTGTGTCTCCTCGTCCGAAATTCTTCACTTCTGTTTACACGTCGGGCGACAATTCGTGCGAATTTACTGCAAACGATCGCAAGAGATCGTATCCGAACCTGTCCGAGAAAGTATTTGTTCCACGGACGGTGCACGAAGTGCGAAAGATCCGACGATACGCAAGTAATAACGTCGGTGATTACCGTCAGGGACAGCTGCTGCGGAACGACGTGGAGAACACGACGAAGCTGGGATCTCGTTTAATCTTGCCTTATCGCCTTCAACTCCGAGGTCGACACGATGCGATTAGCACGAGCAATAATGTTCGGAGATTATCCATGCGTGCATTCTTCTGGTCCATTCATCGCCCGCTCGATTTAAAGCAGAACCGTCTCCTACGCGTCGCCTTTATCAAAGATCGATTCGATCGAGTCGCGTCGATCGATGCGCCCGACACGTATCACCGAGTTCGCTCGGTTAATCGCGAATTTTCATTTTCGCAGACACTCTCAGCATCAGCGAGTCGTCCACGGTGGCAAATCTCGCGGCCGACTCGGTATGGGGCGTCCTCCGCGGTCTCGACACCTTCTCCCAGCTCCTGTTTCCAGCCAACGACGGTCCAAACGTGAGTTCCGCTTCGATAATTCGTTTAACAGCAACGAGAACGCCGCCGCGAAACTATCCGGAACGTCTATATAGTTAAAGATAAGGTGTCAAAGTATCGTGGATTGGCCGAAGTTACCTCATCGCGGACTCCTCCTGGACACCTCCCGTCATTATCTACCCATCCACGATATACTGCTGACCCTGGACGCGATGTCTTATAACAAGCTGAACGTCCTTCACTGGCACATCGTCGACGACAACAGCTTCCCTTATCAGAGCCCCAGGTATCCGGATTTGTCCATCAGGGGGGCGTACCATCCCACCATGGTCTACACGCTGAACGACATCCAGAAGATCGTCGACTACGCCAGGCTGAGGGGCATCCGAGTGATGCCCGAATTCGACACTCCTGGGCACACTAGGTCTTGGGGCTTGGCCTATCCTGAACTATTGACCGTTTGCTATGGTAAATATTATACAACGTCGTTGTGATTCTTTCCTCGTTGCGATTTCTTTCAAGAAACTTGGCAGAGAATGACGTGCTGCGTTCGTCGTTCATTTCATGCGAGACGAGTCTAACGATTCTTTAGAGTCTAGAGAGTCTTTAGAGACTTTTTCTCTCTTTAGAGACTTTCTCTCTCTCTCTCTCTCTCTCTCTCTCTCTTTTTAGAGACTTTCGAATGTAACAAGTCTTTGAGGAGTTTAACTCGTCAAGAGCTGTTTTCGGCGGACGTCGTGCAGTACAGAAACTTCTCCCTAATTCGCGCTCAAATTGCGCGCAAAAATGGACAATTCGGGTATAGAAGATAGCCTTGCGGCTCGTTTTCATAGTTACCGATTGTCAACAACTATGAAAACGAGACGCAAGGCTCGAATAATCGTATCTCCTCTTCCCAAATTGTCCATTTTTGTGTGCAACCTTAGCGCGAATTAGGGAGAATTGTATTCAGGGTGTCCCAAAAATGTCTCGCAATCCAGAAACAGCGGGTTCCTGAGATCATTCGAAGCAACTTTTTCCTTAGCGAAAATGCAATCAGAGGCTTCGTTTACGAGTTATTAACGAAAAACGGTGACCAATGAGAGGCGAGCTCAGTTCCGCTCATTGACGCGACCGTCTCGCGCCAACTGGTCTCGCCTCCCATTGGCCACCGTTTTTCGTTAATAACTCGTAAACGAAGCCTCTGATTGCATTTTCGCTGAGGAAAAAGTTATTTCAAATGACCTGAGGAACCTTCCATTTCCGGATTATTTGCATTTTTTGGGACTCTCTGTATTATTAGATTTCTTAGTTGCTTCACTCGTGCGTCGATTCTGGTTTGTTTATGATGTCCAAGATGCCCGACGTTCCCACCTCCTCGACAGTATCAGTTAAAAATCAGTAATCCAAATTCAAACTAAACAAACAGCTCTTTCTCAGCTTGCACATAACTGTTCAGTTGAGTCAAATTAAATAGTATTTTTCTAACGCATCGAATTCCATTTTATTTGTATGTCAAGGGGTTAACCCTTTGGAGTCGAGGCTATTTCAGCTCCAAAATGAAAGCATTTGTTTCAAGCTACACTATTCTCATTCGGCACAGCTGTTTTTATTCGATGCATTGGAAATTTAATCTGTTTGCCTACAGAAGATTTCTATTCCTTAAACAATTTAATGAATATATAACTTTAATAACGTATAAACTTTTCTAAAAAATGGTACAGCAATTTTTAGCGTCGCCTTAGAATCGCCGGACGAATGTAAAGTGTTTACTTTCCTCGATCAGCCGATGTTTATTTCTCTCGATCCAAGTGTACGAAATAAAAGGACGCTTCGTAGGTCGATTTCGTCGGTCAGATTTCATTCCTGGATGTTGATCTTACTAGCACAACTTGAATTTACGTTAGATTCGAACGGCAAGCCCACCGGAAAACTGGGACCCATGAATCCAACGAACCCTTATCTGTACGAGTTCCTGCGGAATTTGTTCTCCGAAATCGTCCGAGCGTTCCCTGATCAATACGTTCATCTGGGTGGCGACGAGGTTCCCTTCGACTGCTGGCAGAGCAATCCGAACGTGACCGCGTACATGCTGGCGCACAACATGTCCAGGAATTTTGCGCTGCTCGAAGGGGAGTATATCGCCAAAGTTCTTCGCATCGCGGACTCGCTGGAGGCAAATGCCATCGTGTGGCAAGAGGTGAACTTTCTTTCCCCGAGAAACCCTTTCCCGGTCCAATCGCGACATGCTATCGGAACCTGCGAATCTCTGAATTTTCATCCTCGTCCTTTTTTCCTCTTTCCAATAAAAAAAAAATTCCACTTGCATCGGAAGGATCTAAAAGACGCACACATATATCCACTGTATTTCGAAAAATGTTTTATTCATATTCCCAACAGTGCGGTGTACGGGATCATAGTGGAATATACAGGGTATTTCATAATTATGTTAACAGCCGGAAATAGCGGATTCCTGAGATTATTTGAAGCAACTTTTTCCTCAGCGAAAATGCAATCCGCGGCTTCGTTTAACGAGTTATTGACGAAAAACGGTGACCAATGAGAGGCGAGCCCGGCTGGCGCGTGACGGCCGAGCTCGCTCTCATTGGTCAGGTGTTTTTTGTTAATAACTCGTGAACGATGCCTCGGAGAAAATTTTTGTAAAGGAAAAACTTACTTGGAATAACCTCAGGAATCATTCATTTCCGGATTGCGAGACATTTTTGGGACACTCTGTAATATTATACATACACGTGTATCCGTGTACACGAGTACTTAATATACACGCATATAAAATTCGTGTAACTGTCCCGCCGTAAAATATTAACCCTTTGTACTCGAAACTATTTTAACTGTAAATCTAAAATAATTTTTCTGATTTATAGTATCTTCATTTTATATAACAAAGTGCATTTTATGCACGCGAAATTGAGTCTTGCGACTTACACAACGGTTACACTTTTAACAATTTTAAAAAATCAAAACTTTATTAACACGTTCCGTGCCGAGCTTTTTTTACTCGAATCTTCACACTTTGATATTTTACTAAAACTTGATGTATTACGTGCAATTATTAATTCTCGTACACATAACAACGTAACAAAACTTATCGACTTCCATTCTTGCGGTGGAAATTGATTCTTCGGTTCTAAATTTCTTGTAAACAATTTGTTCAGTTCACTAAGTAAACATGCAAGCGTGTACCATCGATGGTACACGTGGCACGGAACGTGTTAATGCAATAATGATCTTAGAACGTGATATAACAAATTTCAGTGGTGCCGCAGAGTCATTCGAGTGCAAAGGGTTAAGAGCGACGGAAGATCCACAGAAAAGATCCGACATTACCTCTCGGCCAACCAAACGATCCCTTTCCAATTATACACCGGCACAACGTCGCGAAACTCCGCGAATTCCTGCGAAACGGAGCGGAGCCGGGTCTCGTCCCGGGGGGATTAGACTTGCATGTATGCTAACGCGGTCGTCCGCGGGTTCACAGGTGTTCGACAACGGCGTGGTGATGCCGAAGAACACCGTGGTGCACGTGTGGACCGGCGTCTGGTCGCAGGAGCTTGAGATGGCGACCAAGGCCGGGCATCCGGTATTGTTATCCGCGTGCTGGTATCTGGACAACATCGCGGGCGGCGGCGATTGGAAAAAGTTCTACAAGTGCGACCCGTTAGCGTTCAACTCGACGAAGAACACGACCAACCTGATGCTCGGCGGGGAGGCGTGCATGTGGGGGGAGTTCGTTGACAAGTAATGACCGTGGAACCATCCGCGCTTTAACCCGGCAAATCAATAGCGAACCGATTCCCCGGCGCAGATTGGGGCTCATCTTTAATTTCCTGTTTAGGAACAACGTGCACCCGAGAATATGGCCGCGAGCCAGCGCGGCCGCGGAGCGTCTTTGGAGCGACAGCAAGCAGGACGAGTTCAAAGCGGCGCAGAGACTCGAGGAACACGCCTGCCGCATGAACAGACGGGGGATACCGGCCCAGCCGCCGAACGGTTCTGGATTTTGCGTCACGTGAATGTATTCGTTCGTTTGACACGTTAACCCCTTGACATATAATGACGAGTTCGGGTCGTCGTTCATTTCGTGCGCCATTCTAGATCGTGACGAGTCTGACTCGTTAAGAGCTGTTTTCGGCGGACGCGGCACAGTAATTTCTCCCTAATTCGCGCACAGATTGCGCACGAAAAGGGACAATTTGGGGAGAGGAGATATCGATTTTATATAATCGTTACCGATTGTCAACAACTATAAAAACGAGACGCAAGGCTCGAATAATCGTATCTCCTCTTCTCGAATATTCCATTTTTGTGCGCAATCTGAATGCGAATTAGGGAGAATTTACTGTACACGTATTATTAAATTTCTCAGATTCTTCACTTGTGCGTCGATCTGGTTTGTTTACAATGTCCAAAATGCCCCATCCTCCCACCTGCTCGACGATACCAACAAAGTTGCATCCACAAATCGGTAATCCAAATTTCAAAATAAAACATTCTCTTTCTCAGCTTGCACATAACTGTTCAGTTGAGCTAAATAGAAATAGTATTTCTGGAACTCGCCGAATTCCGTTTTATTTGTATGTCAAGGGGTCAAGCGCGGGAACATCTGTCCAAAATTCCCGCGAGAATCGAAGTAATTTAGTCGACTAACCGAAAGATACAAACATTAAATTGATCTTTCGCAATCTGGTTAATAGAAATCGGTTTATCCGAAGAGATATCACAATAGAAATTAATTTCGAGCCTGGTTGGAAAACAGCGTCGCTCGTCTGTGTCCGATGTGGCGCTTAAACGTGTCGACTCTTACGTCTCTTTGTGTCGTGATGATAAGGATAGAAGAACGGAGAAAACGGGCGTCGAACAAACACATTCGTGTCTGCTCGGCGTTGTCATCGTTTCCGAATGGGTTCACAGCGAAGCTTCACGTAATTCGTGTCTACGTTGAATGCATCGAGGCCGAATGTACTATGCACGCGGAGAATCGTTCGCAATTACTGTCCCATGAAACATGTTGTTTGTATGGATTTTGATAAATAAACGGAGCGATTGCTTGGAAACGAACTGTAATTGATTATTAACTGGTCCGAAGATTACCATCTGCTGATAGGGGTGAAGTATTAACCCTTTGCACTCGAAGCCATTTTAATCCTTTACATTCGGAGCCATTTTAATTCGAAATCCAAAATAGTTTTTCTGACCTATAGTGTTTCCATTTTATTTGAAATAGAATTTTGTAACTCGTGCAATAATTACACTATTAAGAGTTTCATAAATATAAACAAAATTTGATAACGTTAACATTATTTTCAAACGTGACATAATAATTTTTAGTGGCGCCTTATAGTCGCCACTCGATTGAAAAGGGTTAACTGTAAATCTAAAATAATTTTTCCGACTTATAGTATTTCCATTTTGTACGACAAAGTGCATTTTATGCATACGAAATTGAATTGAGTCTTGCGATTTATACAACGGTTACACTTTTAATAATGTTTAAAATTTCGATGCTATAAAAGCTTCGATGATATAAAAATGATCTTAGAACGTGATATAACAATTTTAGTGGTGCCTCAGGGTCGCCACTCGAGTGCAAAGGGTTAACTGTAAATCTAAAATAATTTTTCCGACTTACAGTATTTCCAGTATTTCCATTTTGCTTAATAGTTTTTAAAATTTAAGCTTCGATGATATAAAAATAATCTTAGAATGTGATATAACAATTTTGTAGGTGCCTCAGGATCGCCACTCGAGTGCAAAGGGTTAACGCTGCACTCGACTAGTGCACTTCGAGGCATCGCGAAAAATTGTAACATCGTACATCGCGTACCAAAAAAAATTTTACATTCTCAAAATTTGTTTGTATCTAAAAAAATGGTAAAATTCATCAAATGCACGCGAGTCGTATAAAACAGAGATACTGTAAATCAGAAAAACTACAGTAATTTCTCCCTAATTCGCGCTGAGATTGCGCACAAAAATTTGCGCAAAAATATCTCGTTTTTATAGTTGTTGACAATCGGTAACCATAAAAACGAGTCTCCTCTTCCTAAATCGTCCATTCTTGTGCGCATTTTTTAGCGCGAATTAGGGAGAAATTACAGTATTTCGAATTTAGGGTCGAAACGGCTTCGAGAAAAGGGTTAAGAATGAAATGAAACCGTGAAATTATGGATGCACCAAAGTACTTAAGAATCGTCGATCCATTGTTTACGGCATTCTAGAACCGAAAACGAAGCAATCTAGAAAGAGAAATTGCTGAAAACCAACAGAACTTCGGATCGAAACTGCTCGCATTTTCGCGATCATTTCGCGCGAATGCATGCGACATAAGATCGGCGCGTGTGACACGCACCTTCATACGTATCCTATAATGTGCACACACGCGTACGTGATTCAACTTAGAAACTGTTGGTCGAACAGAAGAAGGCCGGTCGTTGTCCCAGCAACGGCGAAACAAAGAAAATAATTCGCGACAGTCCGCAACATTTCACGACCGTCACCAGCAAAATTCCAAGTGGCCACGAACTATCCTGAAGCACACCGATGCCGTCGGCTCTCGTTGGATAAGGGCTCATCCATCATCGGGGAATTGATGACAGACCACAGGTTTATGGAAATCTCGTCGAAATATGTCGACGTAATTGCGCTCGCACCGCCGGCGACCCCACAACTGCGTGATGAGCAGGTAAAATTTGCTTCTTATCTATCGCGGGATCTCGTGGAAAGCTGATAAATCGGTGCCACGATTGAAATCTGAACGACGCGAAAGCGTGCAGCCGTTCGAGAAAATCCATTTGTCATACGTTGCGATACACGTTAGATCGAATATTCCAATGTTTCTTGCCTTTCTCCTCGAGATTGTATGTCACGGAGCTGTCCTTTCGATCTTCGAATCCCTTGTTTTCTGCGATTATCTCGTCAAATAATCCGTCCTCCTCGTACACGCGTTCGTTAAAGCCGCGGACGAACGATAAGAGATAAAAGAACCGCTGCTTCACAAATTAAAATGACAACCTAAAAACGAATCAGTTTTATTTACGTAATTTGTTGGCCGACCTGCTTATCGCGTCATTAGGCGCGATGTAGGCTCTGACCTCTGCAAATAAAATGTTCCGATAACAAGAAGCCACTGTTGGCAGACGCCATTCTAGATACGATTATTCGAGCCATGCATCTTGTTTTTATAGTTGTTGACTATCGGTAACTATTAGGTCGGTGCGTATGAAATGTCGGATTTTTAAGCGAATATATAAAGCTGCGTATCTTTCTTCAAAAGCTGTTTACTTCATCGAAATATGCTCCATTCGCTTCGATACACTTTTCCCGACGAGATTGCAATGCACGGATACCCGTCTTAAAGAAATTCTGATCTTTAGAATCGATAAACTCTGATATGGAATTTTTCAGACTGTCTTCATTTTCGTACCATTCAGCCCGTAAAAACTGTTCCAAATGTTTAGAAAAATGAAAGCCGGTTGGCGAAAGATCCGGCGAATAAGCCGGGTGCTGCAAAATTTCGTATTTTAATTCATTTAATTTCGCAATTGTTTTGTACGACGTGTGCGGCCGAGTCGCGGAGAAATATTGGGCCACGCCGATTCACAAGCGATGGGCGTATAATTTTCAATTTTTCATGTATCTCATCGATGTACCGGTTATACTTTTCGGCTGTAATTGTCTCCCCAGTTCGAAGGAACGAGTAGCGAATTACTCCGGTCGCATTCGTTTCCACCAACGCTTTCGGAGCATCATTTTTCACAGACGTTTCGGGTCTTCCACGCGGTTCATTATTTAGGGAAAAATCAGCGGACCGAAAATTTTCAAAGCAACGCTGCACTTTTCGATCGTTAACAGCATTCTCCCCGAACGCCTGGTTTATACTGCGTGCAGCTTTCGCAGCATTACTACCAAGTTTATACTCGTCTAAAAAAATTACACGAATATCGGTTAAATTCGTATCCTCACGAAATTCAAAGCAAATAACAAAATGGAGCACTTTTGTGAAAATCTTCTTCGTTGAAACGTGCCTCTGGCAATGGACGGTACGACTATAAACGAGATTATGCTAAAAACAAAAGCATAACGAAAACTGGAAGAAAAACGTTCGCGTGTAAAGAAAATCCGACATCTCATATGCACCAACCTAATATAAAATCGATATCTTCTCTCCCCAAATTGTCCCTTTTCGTGCGCAATCTGTGCGCGAATTAGGGAGAAATTACTGTGCCGCGTCCGCCGAAAACAGCTCTTAACGAGTCAGACTCGTCACGATCTAGAATGGCGCACGAAATGAACGACGACCCGAACTCGTCGCACGTCCGACAAACGTTCACGTGTAAAGAAAATCCGACATTTCATATGCACCAACCCAATAAAATCGAATAAAATTACGTAACGATCGTTCGACTCGCAGAGGATGCTGCGGAAGTTGTGGCCCACCCCCATGTTGTTCGATGCCGTGCGCACCACCCCCGTGTCCACCTTGCATCGTCTGCAGGCCACCCTGTCCACCCCGATGTCCCCCTAGACCAACGAAAACAGCAGTAAGTTTCGATATAAGCGTAATTTCCCACAATTATTCCCTGTTGCTTGAACCAACACGGTCTCGCGTAAACTTCTCGAGAAGTTTTCCTAATAATAAAATTCAACGATCGCCGTTTATTCGCGAATTCTCATTCTACCGTAGTTAAATTTCGAGAGCAACAGAATGATCTTCCGAATTAGATTGTCTTCCGAAACGATTGAACGAGCAGCCGCGTAGAATAAGAACGAAAGTCCGGAGGAGTCTCTGAACCGTTGTCAACCTAATTGTCATGTAAATTTATTAAGCCTGCACAGTCTTATCGTCGCGGCTAACTTAATAACGCCTGGAAATTAGGTTTACCTACGGCCTTGTCCGCCTTGTCCACCGTGTTGCCCGCTTCCTTGCCCGCCAAAGGTGGTCGTAACCTGTCATCCACCGCCGCCCCCCTGTCCCCCACCGCCGGCGTGCGTCACTTACGTTTGTACCAAGAAACTGGTTCCCTGTATGCCCTGCCCGCCGCCCACGCCCCCGCCGTGCTCGCCGTGTCGACCAGTTTGCAGTCAGTTCTCCGCGCGGCAATATTCGATGCCGGCGAGAATCGCCAGAGAACTCACCCCTTATCCTTACGATTGTTTTCTTTGTGCACAGTGCCCCGTCCTCCTTGCTGCTAGCGACCGCGCATGGGAACAGGCGTTGGTCAACGGCCGCGCAGACGACACGAGCGGAGTCCAACGAGAACGACCGTTGGATGCGTCCTATATCTTCGTGACAATTCATGTAAATTCTTCGCCTGGTTCTGGGGATCTTTGCAGTCCACGTTCTTTATTTTGTTGTAATTTTTCGCTGATTTTTAGTTCGATGCTTCGGGAATTGATTTTCGAATTCTTGGGGCCAAAGCGATTTTTCTCAGTTGAACCTCATTTTTTGGAACTTTATGAGATTGTTGCGTTCGAGAAAATTGCTTTAAGAAAGATTCTACTTTCTAAGATTTAATGATTTTGAGAATTTTGACTCGTTTTGACCGGTTAACGGTGGCGTTTCCTTATTGGAGCGACGACGAGTATATTCGTCGAACACAGAATAAGTGTCGTTAAAATATTGGATCGAAAAGACGATTTTATTTTATAAAATTAACAGTTTTATTACTAATATTTACTTGTTCGCTTAACATTAATATATACTGCATACATTATAAAAGAAAAATGCAGGAAAAAATCAAATATTTATAAAAGATAAAAATTCAAATTATTATTTCTGTTTTATAATTTCCTGTAAAGGAAAAAGATCACGAACTAGTTATTTCGATTGGTGTTAGACAGCAAATTTAATGCACTTATGAAAGAAATTACAAGCCAGGATTTATTCAGACTTTTACAGTTTTGATTGTAACATGTGCTTGGATAAAGAAATTTATTCGATTGTTAATCACAGTAAATGTGATACAGTAAATTCTCCCTAATCTATCCTTAGCTTTTGCACAAAAATGGACAATTTGGGAGAAGAGGTATGATTATTTGAGCCTTGCGGCTTGTTTTTATAGTTACCGATTGATAACAACTATATTTTATACATATTATACAATATATAAATAAACTATAAATATATATAATATAATAGACTATAAATATATATAATATAATTATATAATTTAACACCATAATATTATCATTTCTCCTCTTCCCAAATTGTCCATTTTTGTTTCCATGCTGATGGTCAATCAAGGAGAATTTTTGTATTTCGACTTTGCACTTTAAACTGATAAAGTACAGTAAATTCTCCCTAATTGACGCTCATCTTGGAAACGAAAATGGACAATTTGGAAGGGGGAGATTTTTTAATTGTTATACTCGTTTTTATAGTTGCTGATGATAGTCAACTATAGAAAGTACTGTTATAAAAATAAACTATAAATCTCCTCTTTCCAGATTGTCCATTTTTGTCTACAAGCCGAGCGTCAATTAAAGAAAATTTACTGTACACCTTGCAACGCAAACAGAAACGGTCGAATTACACTAAATTCTCCCTAATTGACGCTCAGATTGTGCACAAAAATGGAAAATTTGGGAAGAGGATATATGATTATTCGAGCCTTGTAGCTATTTTTATTATATTAGCTATTTAGCATTTTTATAGTCGTTGGCAGTTCGTAAGTATAAAAACGAACCGCAAGGCTCGAATAATCGTATCTCCTCTTCCCAAATTGTCCATTTTCGTGGACAATCTGAGTGACAATCTCTCAATTAGAGAGACATTACTGTACTCGGTAGCGATTTTATGAAAAACCTCTTGTATAACGTAAAGTAATATAAAACAATCTAACTAGAATAGATCTTAATCTACCATCATTTCCTGCTTACAGAATTTAGGACCAAACCGATCATGACGAGGCACTTCCACGATTCTGAGATACCCGGACTCGACCCACGGATTCGACGAAATTCCCGATTTTATGCTTTTCCTGATTTCGAAGATCTACGTCGCGACGAAAAATATTTCTAACCTGGATTCGACTACGACCGAACGCGTCTTAAACCGAATTTCGAGGAGATCGACGATACATAATTTCGTCCTAAACGAGACCCCGTGTCGTCGTTTAGAATTATTATCTAAACGAATGTACGAGCGCCCAACGAGGAGACTAAACCCGGATCGTCTTACCGGAATCGACAAAATCTTAATCCGCAACGAACCGCGGAAACGAGGGAAATTGTTATTCGATCGATATAGGATGGACGACTATATTTTCAGATTCTGCATGCTTTCGAACGCTTGATTCGCGAACGGGATCGGTTCTCATCGGTGCCTGGCCGCGGCTCGCGTCTACAAAACCAGTTTATATCAAAATCAGTCTCGCGCGAACACCTCGATTCGACTCCGGGCTGCCTCGATTCATGTTTTTCCCCCTTCTCCCCCATGAAAATGTGTACTCCGGCAAGCCGAAGTGACACGAGGTGTTCGGCGATCCGGAACAGCAATAGCAGCAGCTCGGCGAACCAAAACAGCCTGAAATGAACACAGCCCCGAAGAATCAACGCATCCAAGCATATTCCATCCAACGAACGTGTCTACGACTGGTCTCAGCGTTTTGTTAAGTTTGCGCGCAAAGAAAGCAGGTACCATTCCTTTTTTTTTTTTAGTGTGATTTTTTTATGAATCAAGTCACGTAGTCAAGATTTTGGTACGATTGCGGCAACGAGACGACTCGACTCTGTCGTATCGCGTTCGAGACCGACGAAACTGCTGCCGGCGCACCGAGCAATGAAAATCCGGCAGCTCTTAGAACAGGAACGATTCTACGAACAGGCGTGTTTGCGTGCGAGTCTGAGAACAGATCGGTGTGTGCTTCTTGTAAAAACTATACACTGAATAAAAATTGTAAAATTCTCGGGGACATCCTTCGTTTTCTTCGATCGTCGATCCATTCCTCGAGTCTTCAACGTCTAGACGATTTTTGATTCGGGAAAGAAGCTAAATCGAGCAAATTATTTATCGAACGATGCATTTACGACCGACGTTAATGGACAATATTAAGAATATTCAGGGTATTTCGAAACATCTCAATTTTCCTTCAGCTGCTAAACAAAAATGGACAGTTTGGGAAGAGAAGATACGATTATTCGAGCCTTGCGCCCCGTTTTTATAATTCTTGACAATCTGCAACTATAAAAATGAACCGCGAGGATCAATGCTGTATGCATCGAGGTTATTACAAAACTGCTCAGAATTTCAATTTAACAGATGCAATCTCCAGGTATACTACAATTGCTTGCCACAAAGGAAACCTTCCATTCAAAGTACATACTAACGCAACAATGACTTACATTAAACAACATCGTTTCACATAACCGTTGTATGTTACAGAATTTGCTCATTCCACATTATCCAGCGATTAAACGTACAGCAAATTCTCCCTAATTGACGCTCAGCTTCGAAACAAAAATGGACGATTTTGGAAGAGGAGGCACGATTATTCGAGCCTTGCGGCTCGTTTTTTATAGTTACCGATTGTCAGCAACTATGAAAGTGAGCCGCGAGAATCAAATAATCGTTCTGCTCTTTCCAAATTGTCCACTTTGCTTCACAAGCTGAAGGAAAATCAGGGGGAATCCACTAGAATCAAGTATGGAGGGCAAGTAAAAAAGAGTGTAAGTCAGAGTTATTAATTGTGCAGAGAAGCACATTTAAAAGTAGTAATTATCGATCGATGCATTTACGACCAACGTCAACGGACAATATTACGAATATTCAAGGAATTTCGGAACATCGATACGTTGTTACCAACTTTTTTTAAATTGTTAGAGATGAACAGCTGTTTGGTCCGAGTTTGCAGCAATTGATGCAGAAGAATCTACCATCTACTTATTTTACGTGTGAAAGAGTCTCGTTCAATTTTGAAAGTCACAGATTAAATGAATGAAATGAAAGAGACCACGGTCAAGCATTGTTCCAAACTACATTTCATAAACCATAAATTCTCTAGTTTTCTTCCGACTGTTCAACGCTTGAATTACCGAGCTCTAAACGTAAAAATGGTAAGATCGAAGTTATTTGAACTTCGTACGATTTCTATTTTAGCATATGCTTGAATAAATAAGTTTCGATGCGAATTGAAAAAGAACGAAATAAATGAATAAAATCAATCACTTCGACCGATTTGATAGTTCCAGCGTTGAAAATACCGCTCTGTTAATCTTGCAACTTCGGATGCCAGTTGCACAGATTTTATTCAAAATTACAGAAAATTCTCCCCAATTTTCCTTCAGCTTGTAAACAGAAACGGACAATTTGGGAAGAGGAGATGCGATTATTCGAGCCCTGCGCCTCATTCTTTATAATTGTTGACAATCGGCAATGATAAAAACGAGCTGCGAGGATCGAATAATCGTATCTCTTCTCCCTGAATTGTGTATTTGGACAATTGATAATTGTGTGTGTGAGCAGAGAATTTATTGTACCTCAACTGGCAATCCAATAGCTTCAAAAACTCGCGTCGAATGAAATAACAATTGCAAATTGAATCGAATTCGTGTCCCGATCGAGCCTTGCGGTTCCTTTTTATAATTACCGATTATCAACAACTATAAAAACGAGCCGCGAAGCTAGAATAATCGTATCTCCTCTTCCCCCATTGTCCATTTTTGTGCGCAATCTGAGCGCGAATTAGGGAGAAGTTACATACTAATATTTACTCTTAGCAATCTTATGCTCCCGTAAGGATTAACAGACGAGAACGAAGTTAGGCAGAACGTACCTCGCGCGAACTCCGCGCCGGAATCAGAATCGAGAATGCAAGCCCGAAGTGACGTGTCCATGGCAACAGGACGCGCCGTGTCTCGTCAATTTTTCGTCCCCGTCTTCGGCACACCCAGTGCACTCCGGCTAATCAGAGTTTCTACGTTCGGATCCTGTGTGCAAAATCGAGCCTGCGAGATCAACTCCGATCCCTTCGGATGATGCGTAACTGATCCATGCCAAGGTTCTTAGCAAAATTCCAGACGATTATGCACAAGAGGCAAGAGAAACTTTAAGAGACTAATATTCGTCCGTCCTCGTTCGCGATTCAGTAATGTCTCCCTTACTGACGCTCCGATTGTCCACTAAAATGGATAATTTGGGAAGCGGAGATACGATTATTCGAGCCTTGCAGCTCGTTTTCATAGTTCTTAACAATTCATAACTATGAAAATTAACCGCAAGGCTCGAATAATCGTATCTCCTCTTCCCGAATTGTCATTGGACAATCTGAGCGTCAATTAGAGAGACATTACTGTAGTCGATCGCTGTCGCATAAAGCATAGAAACATTACCGTATTTAAGTATTTTCATTTCGTGCTCGTCGTTGGAAATTTTCCGATCGGAGGAAGAATCTTTACCCTTGGTTTTCGAAGAATTAATTTCGGAGTTCGTAGAAAGTGCCGCAATCCGTTTCTGCCGCGGCGTCAGCCCCCTGGGGCTGACAGTGGACTTTCCGTTTGGCCGGTTTCAGTCCTAAGTAAATTCTTCCTAATTGACTAACAGTGTACCGTTTTTGCGCGGCGTTAATTCCCAGGGACTGATAGCGAACATATCGTTTGAACGGCATCGATGCATGGGGCCGGCAGTATCAAGGTTAAAAAATAATGTCGGCCTGTCGCCTCAACGGAAAATCCAGCAAAATCGGCATCCGCGCTTGACGTGTTAACTCTTTGGGGCACAGGATTTCAGAAAATAAAATAGGCAGAAATGTTGCATAGAAATTGTATTGCGTTTTAAACTAATTTTTCACAACGATCTCTAAAAGTCTGAGAACGTCAGATTCCTAAAGATAAACTTCCTGATCGAAATTGATCGAATGATTGAATAAAATTGGTGTATTTTTATCAATACAGGAATCACATAATATATAGAAACATAAAATAATAATATTAATTCAATTGAATTTGTTATCATAGGGTACCACATGGGTTCATTCATGCGGATGCAGCTATTGCAATGTTTCGAGAGGTCTAAAAACGTCCCAGCATGCATTATCGTGCATACAAAAATGGGATATTTTTAATCCCTCCGTGCCTCAAAGAGTTAACAGATGTACATTGTGTATACGTAAATGCAGGCTGTCCTCAAAATGTCTCGCAATCCGGAAATGGGAGGTTCCTGAGGTCATTTGAAGCAACTTTTTCCTTCACAAAAATTTTCTCCGAGCCGTCGTTTACCAGTTATTAACGAAAAACGCTGACCAATGAGAGGCGAGATTCAGCTGGCGCGAGGCGGTCGAGCCGACAAGTGCATGGATTCCACTTCCGCTCATTGGCTCAGCCGCCTCGCGCCGAGCTCGCCTCCCATTGGCCACTGTTTTTCGTTAATAACTCCTAAACGAAGCCACGGATTGCATTTTCGCTAAGGAAAGATTTACTTCAAATGACCTCGGGAACCTCCCCTTTCCGGATTGCGAGACATTTTTTGGGACGCCCTATATGAGATTATAATAATCTTGGCGACCCATATCGACCTTTACGTTTCAGAAAAGCTTCGGCTGACGGAAATGTCAGACAAAAGACACCCACAAGACGTCCAAGCGCGAGCAGTCTAAAGGCGAGGACGAACACGATGCAGCAGCGTGTCAGAACCGAAAAGTCATCGTCGAATCAAAACGTGTCCCACGCGGAGCCAAAGGAGCGACCGCAGAATGCCGCAGACGCGTACATACCGAAGACGAGGTTCAATTCTCAAGACAGGGGCAAAGATTTCGTGTCGCCCTCGCCCAGACTAAAGTACTTCCCGGCCGAGAAAATTAAGAAGTTGGACAGTTCACCGGCGTACACGCCCGACCCAATCGGCGCCATAATCATGCAGCAGAACCCTCAGGAGTCGGGTACATTTTACGTGCCAGGATCGGTCGATCAGAATAATGGACAAGGCGACGCGAATGCGGCGTCGCAGCCGGCGTCACAGCCGCGGCAGCATCAGGTGTTTAATCGTTCGATCAATTCCGATCTGACTTCTTGAGATCATTGAACAATTTTTTTTATAATCGTTTAACAACGTAACAACTATAAAAACGGGCGGCAAGGCTCGATTAATCGTATCTCCTCTTCCCAGATTGTCAATTTTTGTGTACAATCTGAGCGTTAATTGGGGAGAATTTACTGCAATCAATTTCTTTATTTACCTCTCTTCCATAAAAATTTAGTAAACGACTGTGTAATTATTGTAATATTTAAATACGTTATACAACTCAACAATTTGTGCAACTTTTACTGATAAGCATGGCTACTTGTATATTGAATCTTGAAACACTGTCGGAACAAATATTCGGGACGTAACTCAGATCTGACGACTCGACAACTTGTATAATCGCGAACGTTATAAACACATGGTTTAGGTCTGAATTAAGTCTAGGCTAGGTCTTTAACACGTATATTAAAATATGCATCCATTATGATTCCTGAGGTCATTTGGAGTAACTTTTTCCTTAGCGAAAATTCAATCCGAAGCTTCGTTTACGAGTTATTAACGAAAAACAGTGACCAATGAGAGGCGATCTCGCTTAGAGCTACGCGGCCGAGCCAATCAGCGTAACTGGGCTTCGACCGCCCTTTGGCTCGGCCACCGCGCGACAGCTAATCTCGCTTCTCATTGGTCACCGTTTTTCGTTAATAACTCGTAAACGATGCCTCGGAGAAAATTTTTGTAAAGGAAAAAGTTACTTCGAATGATCTCAGGAATCCTTTCCGGGTGTTAACATACTTATAGGACAGCTTGTGTACATACAGTGGTCACGAAGACGTATGAAACTAATTTGGAAACGGCACAAGTGGACTTCAGTTTTTTTACATTTTTAACAGAAACGAATAAGTAGAGTACAAAACAGTGACTGTTAAACAATTTTACGAACTTGATTATATTATTTATAACTCGTGAAAATTATTCCTGTCACGTGGAACTGACGTATATAATTTTTATTTTGCACATAGATCCCCAGTCTAGTTACAAGCGAAGGTTAAGTCTGGATTACAATAAATTCTCCCTAATTGACCCTCAGCTTGTACACAGAAATGGACAATCTGGGAAGAGGAGATACGATTATTCGATCCTCGCAGCTCATTTTCATAGTTGTTGACAATCGGTTACTATTACTGCTACTACAGCAGCAGTTTGAATTTGTAACTTTTATAAGTATTCGATTTTCCCTGCGAATAAGTAAATATTAGTAATAAAGATTGTTAATTTTATAAAAAAACTTCGAGCCTCTCTTCCGACTCGAATAATCGTATCTCCTCTTCTAAGGATTGATTAGGAAGAATCCACTATATTTCCATAACTTCTCGCCAATATTTCGGCAACAATGATCAGACAACGATAACGTGTACACTGAAACTTGTACAAAATCACCAAAACCGATTCGTTGTAACGTTTCGTTGCGCATAGTTACCAAAGGCCGTCAAATCCGCGCGCTACTTTCGGACTCCCAAAACTGCTTCTCCATTAATTCATGGTTACGATTATGCTACAGACCGCGCACACCATGAGCCAGCAACAGGTTGGCAGTCACCAACCATCGCATCAGATGGTTCAAATCAGCCCGAGCTCCGATCCCACGCTGTACCAGCAGGCCCAAGCGAATCAGGTGCATCGACCTTGCGTGCCCCATGGCCAGCGCGAGCCTTCCCCGCAGAAGACTCCGCAACCGTTGTACCGCACTGCGACTCCTCAACCATTGTACCGCGCCGCGACTTCTCAGCCAGCATCGCCTTCGTCCGTCCCGGCGCCTTTGAACCCGGAGCAGTGCAGGCTCGAGAACAACGGAACGGAATGTCCGGACTACGAGGCGCAGCCAGTCGGCGGCCGAAACGCGGCCGTGTACAGGCAAGCGATGATAGCCGGCCAACAGCCACCAGCGGCGCAGTCGCAGATGTCCACGATGCCGAATGCATCGCAGTCGAACGGCAGCCAACAGTATCAGCACCCAGCCCAGAGCCACTATCAACTACTGGCTAGGCAACCGAGCCCTCAAAATCCTCAGGTGTCGTATCAACAGTTGCAGCAGACTGCGGCGCAACAGCAACAGATGCAGCAGCGCGCGATGGCTTATCAGGCGCAGACGATGAACAACAGTCCTCGGCGAAATCTGATGGGCGCACCGGTCATGCGACAGGGAATGACCTCGCCGCAGGAGGCCGCGACGAACAAGCATCGAGCTGTGCAGAATTATCAAGCCCAGCAGAACTATCAGGCTCAGCAGAATTATCAAGCCCAGCAGAGGAGCTACGCGATGAATCCTCAGAGTAGTCAGTTGAGCCCTTACACCATCAACTTGGTCAACGATCGGCCGCAGTTCCTTCCGCCAAGCATGCATCAACAGCATCCCGCGCCGCAATATCAATCGCAACCTGCCCAACCGCTTCAGAATCCCGACCAGCAACTGCACAGAAACCCTGCAGGCTATCACCCAGAGCATCCTGGTCACCGACTGCAGTTCAATCCTGCTGAGAACTCGAACCAGCAACCACCGAATGACCAGCAAACGGGACAAGCTCCTCCTCCTCCTGCTGAAGCACCGGCAAACCCGGATGACCGACAGAGGAAGACGAAGTTGTCGTTCACCCAGAGCATGGTACGCGACCAAGAGAAGCTCGTGGCGACCATGAAGCAGCAAGGAGTGCCGTTCGACATCATCAAAAGGCAGTTCGAGGCGCTGTTGAACGAGCAAACCAGGCAGCTCGAGTACATCGAGGAGCTTCGTCGGCAGGACTACCTGCCGGACGTTGAAAGACCCGTGGCTGTCGCTCGCAGGCACAAACAGTCGGACGAGAAGCCGGAATGGATGGTCCATCTGACGCCGCAAAGGCTGTCGTACGTCGAGGTGGAGAAGATGTACGAGGAACAAAAGCGGAAGGAGCGGGTGGCTAGGCAGATGGAGCAGAGCAGGCAGAACGAGGCGGCCGGTCAGATTCATCGGCACATCGGTCAGCAACAGGGCCAACAGTACTATCAGCAAGGCAGCCAGCAACAGCAAGGCGGTCGGCAACAGATGTTCGCGCAGCCTAGGATGATCGGTTGGGTCCAGTCGACGCCCAACGTGCCCACGATGAACCATCCGCGGGGCTTCCCGAGCCACCAGCAAGAACAGCACGCGTACGCGCAGCAACAGAACCCGCAACTCCATCTGTATCAACAGGTCTGCCCGGCGAACAACCGTCAAATCGAGAAAGAGGATGATAACAACACCCCTGATAACCCCGCGACCCGCGAAACTGTCAGACGAACGACCGAGCCGTCCAGCCTGCTGAAGCTCCGAGTGTACAAGGACTGTATCCGGCCGCAAGGGCGCAACAACGGGCTGCAGGACCCGCAGATAGTGCGCAAGTATCTGGAACAGGCGTCGGCATCGGCGGAGGTTCAGAGGGGCCTGGAGTATCTGGCCAGCTTAGGCCCGAAGAAGCAAGTGGCCAGGCTGAACGGGATGCAGGAGCGCGCGGAGATGGAGCAGCAGCTGAACGAGCGACTGACAGCGGCTTCTAATCAGCAGCAATCGTCGAAGAGGATCTCCGCGAACGGCCTCGAGAACACCAGGAACCCGGACAACCCGGCCTCGCAGCGTTTGACGCAGCTGAAGATGACGAACCAGGAGTTCCTGCGAGAGTATCCCAGACAGAAGCAGGCCAATCCTCGAGACTGTCAGGTTGTCCAAGCGGAAAGAGAGAACGGGACCGTCGCACCTGTCGAGCAGCAGCACCCTTGTCTGCAACAACACTCGGGGCACGCCGTTTCGACGCCGATGATCATCCCTTATAACGACAGGAACAACAACCCGGACATCGTCAACGGTGGCTCGATGCGGTACAGGTTCGACGGGAGCAGTTCTCAGTGCTATCAGCAGATGCAACAGTACTATCAGAACGCGCGGAATCTCGCCAAGAACATCGGCGAGGGGGACATGGGATTTGCTCGAAGGAACGACGTATCGAAGAACGCCGGCTTCGATCGAGCAGGCGGCGACGCCACCGGAAATATGAACGGCCAGACGCCGGATTGCAAAATATCGATGCACAGGACGCATCATAGCCAGCCTGATCTGTACGAAGCTAGAACCATCGGCGGTGTGAGGTTCCTGGCCAGGAAACAGGACTACATGCCAAACGCGCAACTCGTGTCACCGGAAACTCTGATCGCGAGCAGACACCTGCAGCCCCCGATGATCTGCTGACGAAGACCCGGTGTTTTTTCTTTTTTATATCTTATCGTTTTTTTTTCTTTTTTTGTCCGATTTACTTACCTGTTTGCTAGCACGTTTTTTTTTTACTCGTTTCTCAGATCGGTTTTACGGTAATGTCTCCCTTACCGACGCTCGGATTGTCCAGAAAAATGGACAATTCGGGAAGAGGAGATACGATTATCCGAGCCTCGCGGCTCGTTTTTATAATTGTTGACAATTTATAACTGTAAAAACAAACCGAAAGTAGAGATATACCAAGATACGAAATAATCGTATCTCCTCTTCCCGAATTGTCCATTATTGTGGACAATCTGAGCGTCAGTAAGAGAGACGTTACTGTACTTGTTTCTCAGAACGATTTACTTTTGTTTGTTAGCATGTTTTACTTGTTCGTGATCACGTTTAGTCGCGATGCTTTTCTACGAGAATCGTTTATTTTGTACGAATCTTTATGGCAGTGCTGTTCGCAAGTGTTTTTCTCGTTGATCGAGAAGATCAACCGATAGAGATGATGTTTCGTGGGCGAGATTAAGTAAGGTGTGATTCACCGTTTCACGATCTTATGAATAAACTGTCCGATTTTTAGTACGCTCTAATGGTTCACCTTTATCGTTTCTCCGCGTCTCCTGGATTCCATGGGAATCCCGGACAGCAAGTATTACTGTTTGTAGGTTCACGGGAACATTTGCTATTCATCGCGGATAGTTGTTCCCTTTCAACGCGAAGCTCACCCTCATCGCTAGAATTGCTGCTTTTCCTCCTTTTTTCACTCCGTTCTCGGCATTTTCGCGGCGTTCCGTCCTCATCAGCAAATTGCAGTCTACCAATAGAGTCCCGTCTATTGACAAAGCGACGGCCCGTCTCGCCTTATCATTCTGTGCCGGAATTTTCGTTCGCAAGGAGCCGTGAAAACTTCGCTATCGATATTTCGGATCTTCCGCGTTCTACTCGATCTAACCGCGAGACTCTTATTATTCGCGTTCTTTTATTCACTTTTTCAGGTTTGCAATCGTGGATTGTAGGAATCATTTTTAACGCTTCGAATGCAGCGCCATGTTGGTGACCGAATTATTTACTTTAAAAATCAATGTTTATTAATATTCACGAAACGTGAGAACGTTGAAGAAGTAATTAATGTCGTATAACTTTGCTCTGCGATTTTAATTCAATTTTAAAAACAGTCTAGGGTGAGAGTGTGGGTATTACTGCGGACGCCCCGAATACTGCGGTGTTTTATAAAAGTAATTAAATCTAATATTTTATATTGTGTAATCTTCTAAAAATGAGTATCATAATTTTGTATATATTTAATATTGATAATTTACGACATGCAAGCAACAGCAATCGCAGTTTTAATTCATTTATCGACTTTTGATAATCGGAAGCTTATGAAATACTCGTAATAGCAGCTGCGAACGCTGATTCGAAAGGCATTAATATTTTGGTAATTAATGGTAAGTTATTCATTTTGACATTATTTTTAGATAAAGTAATCGTTACTTTGAACAAAAATATGAGGTCTACCGGAAAGTTCTGTCTGATAATGTCATTGCAAATTTCAATAGATATGCACATATTCATTTGAGACATATATTTGTCAAAGATGTTGCTCACAAATTGCCATCACGCTGGCAAGAGGTCATAAGTAACGACGGAAATTATATTATTATTATTATATAAATTATAATATTATATATAATATAATTTTTTATTATTATTATATAAATTATAATATTATACATAATATAATTTTTTATTATATATTATATAAATTATAATATTATATATAATATAATTTTTTATTATATATTATATAAATTATAATATTATACATAATATAATTTTTTATTATATATTATATAAATTATAATATTATATATAATATAATTTTTTATTATATATTATATATAAATTATAATATTATATATAATATTTATTATTATATAAATAAATATTACTAAATTTATGAAAAATCTATTATTTCCTTTAATTTTTCTCAAACGGACAGAACTTTCCGGTATATCTAATATATTACGAGGTTAACAGTAAAATGCTTTCTGTCACCCGATTCTTTTTCTTCGAAAGATCTTGTGATCCTGAAATCACGCACAACACATCAAATCGATTCGAACACCAAGTACGTTCATCATTCTTCTGTCTTTTCTACGAACAGAAAGCGAGTTAACTTCCGTCCGTTCAAATTCCATTTCCAATAATGTTTTTTAGCAAAAGTTAGTCCTAAATTTCCCGTGAACATTTACACAAACTATGAACAATCATGAACTGCAAGAAGCCACGCGACTACATGGAAGAGATGCTGACAATAATAGACCGCATCGAATGTCTGTGAGTAATTCGTGTAAATGAAATGACTATATTCCTAATCATTTTACGCACACGTAACAAAAATAGTTGCGTGAAATTTCAGAAAGTAGAAAGGATGCGGATAAATTTCTGTGTTGCAATTTTTACTTTACTTTCACTAAAATTCTCGTTTCAGCGCGTCATTTCACAAAAATTAGTAAATCCTAAATCTAACCTTAAATAAAAATCTGCACGTGCCATAAATACGTAAAGATCCCTAGTCTAGGGGTTACTCTTTCAATCGTTTCAGTCCCTTCGAATCCTAATCAGATCTGAGGGATGATTATGAAAATAAGCTATACAGGGTGGGCCGGAATTCGTAGCACAACCGAGGGGGGGGGGGGGGGGGGTGATTCTGCGTGAAAAAAAATAAGGAACAAATTTGGTATTTGCTATCTTGGACGGAGACACCTGCGATAGAAGAATAAATGACAACTAAATCCTTTGCAAAGGGATGAATGAACAAACTTTAACGTCGATTTTCATGAAAACGGAACCCCGGATAAAAAATATGTTATACCAAATTTGTTTCTCATTTTTCACATAGAATCACCATCTGCTCGGTTGTACTACGAATTCTGTCCCCCCACCCCTTTATACTTAATACAATATATACAATGCAATATACTTTATTTATTGTGCGAGTATTTAATAGTGAACAAATTTATGATGTGTGTAAAAAAATGGTTATTTATGATTATAAGAATTGAAGAACTGTGAATATAATTTTTTCTTATGCATTCCAGCCGTCTGCTTCTTCCGGCTGTCGACTGGCCCTGCGTCCAAACGTTTATTCAGCATCATTGTTATATTTACACAGAATCTAATTTGGTTAATAATCTCTATCGTTTCTCTAAAGTCGAGGATCTTCGATTCCAGGAGACCAGAACCGGAAATATGCAACGTTAGGTGCCCACCGTTGGGGTGCCCACGTGGTCCGTGTCCAGGGTTATGCTGCTCCGGAGGCGTCTGCGATGCCTGCTGCATTTCCAAGGTGCCCTGTTGTCCGATACCAACCCCTTCGCCGCCCCGGTGTCGCGCACCCCCTTTGTGCTGGCTGAGAGCCTACGCCAAGGCGGTTGGCTATCCCCCAGAATCCTGTCTCTCCCCGCAGAACGCGTGCTACCGCTAGAAATCCGACTGCGCGTCCCCGAATCAACAGAATCATTGCCCCACTAAATTCCCCACCACCCTACCCTCTCGCAAGTCACCCTGTTGCCCCGCTCCGATGCTGTCAGACCGACTCCCGGGAATAATTCAGCCGTCTGGGCAACCCAGAGTCTTGTTTGTCATGTCTCGTTTGACATTTCGACTGATGCAAAAAGCACGAAAAAACTGTTCCTTAACCTCTTAGGCGCGGCTGAATTTTTTCGTGGGCTGTCTCGCAATCCGAAAGTGGCGGGTTCCTCGGATCATTTGAAGCAACTTTTTCCTTTACAAAAATTTTCTCCGAGGCACCGTTAACGAGTTATTAACGAAAAACAGTTACCAATGAGAGGCGAGCTCGGCTGGCGCGAGGCGACCGAGCCAATGAGCGGAACTGGGCTTCGTGCGCTGGTTGGCTGGGCCGCCTCGCGTCAGCTATACTCGATTCTTATTGGTCACTGTTTTTCGTTAATAACTCGTTAACGGTGCCTCGGAGAAAATTTTTGTAAAGGAAGAAGTTGCTTCAAATGATCTGAGGAACTCGCCATTTACAGATTGAGAGATATTTTTGCGTCGTAAATAAAGTGACATTCGCGAAAGCAACTATAGTGAGGTATCGTACCTAAGAGGTTAAAAGACTGTAGTTTTTATGCATGAATGACAGTGTGTTGGTAAAATAGCATAAAGATCGAAAGTATTTCGAATGTCGATGTATCGTAAATTTATTAACGTTATTAAAATATGCAATAGATATTTGGTTTCATTAATTTACCAGCGACGCAGAAAATTGGTTAGGCTTTGTTGCTTTTTATCAGCCGGCTGCATAAACGGCTCCTATATTACGGTTAAATATTATAAATAACCATTTTAAAAATTCCACCAATTCTACCATCTTTTTCGAGATTTTAGAAGAACTCGTTCGCTAGACCAATGTGAAAAACAGTTTTTGCAGCAATTGTAATTTGTTAGAATGACAAAAGAAGATACAAAAATAATGTTTTCCGACTTTTTTAACCGAGACGACTATTTTTTAACTCTGCAAGAACAGATTCTTATAGAATTCTTGCGAAATAGCAACGAATAAATTTCTGCTACAAGCTCGGATAAAGTTAAAACACATAATTTTGTCGACATTCCAATTAATCCAATAAATCACAATTTTTTTAAAAATTTGTTTACTCTCTGTCTGGTAAACTAGACCCTCGTTCAATGAGATTTTAGTAAATTCATTCCGTTTCAAAGAGTGTATTCGAACGTTTTCCAGCGAGCGTACGTGTCCCCCTGCGTGGAATTGAAACGAACGGGAAAAAGTGAAATAATAAACGTTCCACGGCGGTTAAGGTTTCGCCGCGGTTTCGTTTATCGGAATAACACGGCAAGAGCAACGCGGTTCGAAGGGCGCCGCGGTACAAATCATAGGAGACAGTCTCTTGACGTCGTCTAGGCAGCTGGCAATTAAGTGAGCCGCATCGCGTTTCGGAAGCTCGGAAACTGCT